TAACAAAATAACTTAAAGCAAAAATTGGGAAACGTAAAGTCGGAAGTCTTTATATTAAGGGCCATCAGCCAAACAATATTGTTTGCTCTGGGTATAAACGGAGTGCGTTGTGTGTGACATCTTCTTTTGCGCATGCGGGCCGCTTTGAGCGTTTGTAGCACTTGGTAAAGTGTAAAGCTAAAATATGTCCAAAACATTGCATAAATCTGTTGGTATTTGTGTTATTCAACTATGTTTGGATTTTTGGCTGCTACATGTTTTTCCACCAGTAGGGGGCAGTCACGAAAAAAGAAAAACTATGTTCGAAAAAGGAAAAGAAGAAGAGTGTATTCTTGGGCTCTGTATGTGAAAGCCACGGTTCTGAAGTACCCAAATAAACTCGGTTCTGCTGTTTACACCAAGTTGTCCTGGAGTGGTGTAACACGTTCACACTAGAGCGCGTTTGCTGTCGCATTTTATTTGTAGTGTGAACAAGCAGACAAAAAAATCGGATTTGATCAAAAAATCGGAATTGAACATTAAGACCTGCAGTGTGAACGTAGCCTTCGTCTCCTACATGGTAAGTATGATGTAATTATTGCTCTAAAATAATTAGGGGCCGGTATGTAGGAGCCATATGAGTTGTTCCTTTTTGACTAAGTGGGTTGGTTTAAATGGACTCACTGTATTGGTGCATGGGTGTGGGGCGTGTCTCATGGGTGTGGTAGATGAGAAATGTGGTTGCACTCACCTGTTCACCGCACCTGATGTTGATGAGCAGAAAGGTAGGGTGAGCATGAGGCAAAACTTTCTGTTGACCGCAGCTTGAATGATTTTGATGTATTTTGACTGGAACTTGATGGTTTATGTATATTTGTTCACTAATTGATGCCATAGGCCAAACTGTAAGTTGGCATTGTAATTAGTGCAGTTATTGGTGAGTTGCAGTTATTTGTTTGTGCATTTGTTTAATAGTTAATCCCATGTGGTGATTTATATATTGGACAGTTGCATGTGGAATAAAAGGAGCAAATGGTACAGAAGTGTATTTTATCAGTTTGTTGTTGCGAGTCATCTGTGTCCTCATGTTTAGCCTGCCGCGGCCATTGGTTGAAGGAGCCGCAACACTACATATGAAATATGGTTAATTCAAAACAAGAACGTCAACTAAGAAAATGGACAAATGGTGTTCTCACCCACTTTGTCACAATGAGATTTGAAAATCATTGTATTTTGCCTTTAGATTTATTAACAAAATTGGATTTGGGTTTGTATCTATAATCGTTATTAACTCATTCACTGCCAGCCATTTTCAAGTGGCTGGCAGTGAAACACAACAAGACTTGCACCACATTTTTGTCTCACTGCGCAATCCCATACGTGCTCAAACCCTGCACCTCCTTGCAGGTCTACTTTTACTGCTGGTAGGCTTCAGTTCAACTTACGTTGACTGCCATTGACGTCTATGGACGTCAATGGCAGTCAACGTAAGTTTTTCAATTGACGTCTATAGACGTCAATGGCAGTGAATGAGTTAATAATAATTTAAATGATAAAATAATGGAGGAAACAAACTGTGTGGTGTGCAGAAACAATAAAGATAGACTTTAGTCAAAACCCTGACAGTGAGGAAATTTGCAGCACAGACGGATCAGTGATACTAAATAAAACAAACACATTAACATGTGGTGCTGTGGATCACTGTAATTAATGCCTTTGATCTGTCAATACTTTGTGCTGATAAATCACTGCTTACAGAGACAGATGTCAGAGCTAATTAACACTTTTGAAGTGGGAGCAATGGATCACTTTATTATACTGAGAAAACTACAAGTAACCAGTATTTTCACAACAGCAGCATGACGAAGTCCAGGTGCTGGTTTTCCAGTGTGTGCGTCTGATGGCCCAAAGCTGACTCAGAGCTATAACACCATCCATGGCTGCAGCATGGAACAGATGTGGGTGTGACATCTCCCAGAGGAGTCCAAATCGTCATCAAACAGCCCTACAGAGACAAAAACGTGAAAATATAAACAACCAGACTATCAGCAGAGATTTAACTACTTTAAGACCTCTGTGAAAATCATTTACAGTATATATCACAGAATTTAAGGCCTTTATAATCAGAGCATACAGAGAAAAGTACTGAGCTGAATCAATTTCAGTTTTCGTTTCTCATGATATATATTGTATTAACAATTAAATTTCATTATCTGTGTCTTTGCCACACAGGTGTAGATACTGTAGGTTCAGTGAATTCTTACATTGCACTGATTAGAATATACTGGACATTCAAAGCTAAGATTCAGCGCACCGTGTTAGAGGCTGGGATTTGATGAATTCATCATATATACAACCTTTGATCATCTTTTATGTCCAGTTGAGAATGAATCTGTGCACTCACATATTAAATGAACTGAAATCAGTAGTGTGATCTCCAGTCTTGATATATTAAATGTGAGAACTGACAGATGTTATTTTAATCAGCCTGTCTCAGTTGTTTTAACTCTTAAGTATCACAAAGTAATGTGGTAACATCTGGACTGACGAGTTTACTGTCAGCATTTTAATCGCTAGTTTAAAGGCTGTAGGCTGCAGCTGTTGCTCTAACGCTGTATAAATGTAACAGGCCTCAGTGCTGGTTCTAATAGTCTGAGCTGCTTTCAGCTTTATTTGTGAAGAGCACAGCAGCTTAGAGAACACGTAGCGAGCTCGTACAGCTGCGACGTAAAACTTTCATGAGCTAAGATGACCTTAAAATAACGGGGCTACGTGCGGTGATGCTAGCGTTAGCCATGTTAGCACGTTACCTTCACAGGTGGTCAGACAGGCACTCAGTCAGAGGTTGTGCTCTCCGTTTCGCTGCAGGGTCCCTCCCGAGGCTGAACGGCCTTTGTACAAGCACACACGCTTCTTAGCAGGGTGAAGCTATGAGCTAGAAAATTCCAGGCTGGCAGACAGCCTGTGTCTGACCAACCAATCTCCTTTGAATAGCAGCAGGATTTTTAAAATGAAGTTGTTAATCCAACTGCTAATCCACATGTTAATCCCTGAGCGAACAGGAAAGGGAAATGGATTTTGAAATGCAGTTTATTAAAGTGCAATTCAAAAAAGTTTTTTGAAATGAAGACTTAAAAAGCATTTTAAAAATCAGTTTATTAAATTGGAATTCAAAAATGAATTTACAAATGCAGATTTTATTCTACAATTCATTATTTAAGCACGAATTTTTTTATTTTATTTCGATGCGTGTGGCTCTTGTGGTCCTCCATACCAGCTCAATAGGGGACCCGGGGTTTAAGGCTCATTAGAGCCACCGAGAACATCGGACTCCCGGAACATTGTTTTCAGACCTCTGTGGTCTTTCGCTACTTGGGTTAAGCACAATATATAAGTCACAAAAATGTTATTGTTTGGCTTTTTTCAGTGTTTTATTTGTCCTTGATTAAATCGGTTTTGCTGAAATTAAAGTTCCAGTTTTCACACAGCTGAATAAACGTCAAACAGAAAACTGATTGAACTGAAGTGTGAGATGGACTCCAATGTCCTGTTATATTTTAGGGAGCAAGGAGCAGATGGCTGCCTTTAATAAACTCCTGAAGGCTGAACGGTCCCATTTCATAGCCTCGCACTTCCAGTCCTCTTGGTCTGCGATTTATAAGAGAAAAGGCTTGAAAGCACTCTCCACCTGTGAGCAAAAACAAACCCCACCCCCCCTCTGCCTTTCCTATTCGTCCAAAAAAGTACCATGTCGACCAATCAAAAAATGATATGGCAACGTGGCATTTAGTTGTTTAGGAAGGGGGAAGTTTTAGGAGTTATGGCGGTGTTTTGAGATGTGAGAGATTTGCGACGTTTAGCGCAAATCTTGTGTAGTTAGTGTGTAGTGTAGTCAATAGTGTTGTTGTGTGTCAGAACAATGAGGCGACTGCTGAGTGTTACAGGTGTTACAGCAGTGATACATCTCCTGTTGTCAGGCCTGCAGGTATCAGGCTGTTGGTCTCCTTCATCTCATAGTGGACAGGAATTATTTTTTTGGAGTGGCACAAATGATTTGTGTGGCATCAGATTTGATGCAGAACTATGGAAGCCCGTTTCCACCACTAAAAAAAAAAAAGGATCCATAACTCAAAATTTCGAGTTATTTTCTCGAAATTTCGAGTTATTTTCTCGAAATTTTGAGTTATTCTCTCGAAATTTCGACATATTAACTCAAAATTTTGAGAAAAGCAACTCGAGTTAGCAGCTGCCAATCAGTAATCTACGTGAATGACGTCATTTCCATGTTACCCGGAAGCTGAAGCCCTCAGCTACAAATGCTACAGCTAAGCTACCGGTATTACATCCAGTCGTGAATGCACAGATTGCTGAGTGCTTTCAGCCTGGCTTCACAAATGATGAAATCCCTGTGTTATTAGCTGAATCACATGGTGTTACTATCAGCAAACATCATACTTTAATTTGTTGGGATCCGTTTTTGAGTGCGCGGTCCTGCGCCATATGCTTCCGGGTAACAAGAAAGCGACCTCATTCACGTATATTTTTGATTGGCAGAGCTAACTTGAAATTTTGAGAAAAGTAACTCGAAATTTCGAGAAAATAACTCGAAATTTCGAGTTATGGATACTAGCTTTTTTTTTTTTAGTGGCGGAAACGGGCTTCCATACAGAACAGCTGTTCTGTAAATAGTTTGAAATGTTTATTTAAAAAACGCCTTGGCTGCATTTAAAAAAAAAAAAAGCTGCAAAAAACTTTGTTTGCCAAACTGAGTTACTTTTTTGGAGAAGTAACTATATAATTAATTGCCCACCATTGGTCATTATATACTGTATTTTGCAGACAGAGTTACAGACTCTCTCAGAGCTTTATAAAAAAAGAAAAAAAAGAAAAGAAAATTGTTTTCAAAATTGGAGTTTAAGTTATTTTTTACTTCCAATAGTGTTAACATGCTACACAGGTCATGAACAAGATTTTTTTTTTTTTCCCATTTTCATTGTAATTGGGCTAAAGCAGTTAACTAAAAGTAGTCTAACATAAATGTAAATGCTGTAATTTGATGATTTTAATAAACCATGAAACTTCGATGGATTCGATGCCAGCGTGACCACAGTGCACATGTCTGATGTCGCTCACAGTGGTCCAAGAGATCGCTCAGGGAGTTTGTGTGTTCGCTCAGACACGTGAAAAATTAGAGGGAACATTGACCACAACATAACCTAACAGACCTACACCTTAGTTGACAGTAGAGCTGGGCGATATGAGATTTTTTCATATCACGATATGTTTTTTTCATTTCAGGCGATAACGATATCCATCACGATATAAGCCAAATAACTATTTG